TATTGCGGGTAGTAATGGTTATTGGATGAAATAAAGTTGGCACGTAAGGGGTATGAAATACTCGGTTGTGAATAGATATTTGCAGAGCTTTTTCGACTTCTCATCTGATACCATCGGAGATATTCCGTTTCTAAAAATGTTCCCAACATTATAATCATTGAAGTTGGTTGGTTTGTTGTTTTACGCCGCACTCAGCAATAGTCCAGCTATATGACGGCGGTCTGTAAATAGTCGAGTCTGAACCAGACAATCCAGTGATTGATATCATGAGCATCCACGCAATTGGGATCGATGACATACATCAACCAAGTCAGCGTACCCTGACCACCCGAACTCGTTAGTCGCCTTTTACGACAAGCATAGTCGCCTTTTACGGCAAGCATGGGTTGCTAAAGACCTATTCTACCGCGATACTTCACGGGGTTATTATCATTGTAAATGAAAATATATGCATATCATGGTATGGTTATACAGAACACATGAATCAGTTGGTTGGTTGGTTGGTTTGTTGTTTAACGCCGCACTCAGCAATATTCCAGCTATATGACGGCGGTCTGTAAATAATCGAGTCTGAACCAGACAATCCAGTGATTGATATCATGAGCATCCACGCAATTGGGATCGATGACATACATCAACCAAGTCAGCGTACCCTGACCACCCGAACCCGTTAGTCGCCTTTTACGACAAGCATAGTCGCCTTTTACGGCAAGCATGGGTTGCTGAAGACCTATTCTACCCCGGAATCTTCACGGGTCCATGAATCAGTAATGACAGTATGGATAAATACTAAAAAATCAAATATTCTAATCAGGGCCCACTTGCACAAAGCGATCTTAGCGCTAAGATGATCGTAACTCCCATGCTTTAACATTGGCTTTCAATACACTTGTGTTACTTATTCGTAGATCAATTCATGCCTTCAAGGCATGTAGTGATTTTGTACCCAATTTCTTCGCACTAGTTTCTAAAGTATATATTAATTTTAGTACCCTAAAGTTAGGTACAAATTTCAAGGAGAATCCCTGAGAGAAACTTTCCCCAGGTCCAAAAGCGATGAGGATTTTTGGCTCGTGATGAGATTCTGCTTATTATTCGTCCTCTGACAGTGGGAACTGCATTTGGGTGTGTGAAATTCGAATTACGTTGCAATTAATGCTACAGGATAATATATACTGGGATATCCTACTTTCGAACATTAATTATTCCACTGCGAATATTTAAATCAATTTACATAGTAATAAATATAATTACATTGGTATATATTGTTCTGTTCATTGCTTACTTTAGGAGGAGTTATTCGCGAATACAATTATAGATCGTTCAGGCGACAGCTGTTCATTTCGTTTGCATGCAAGAGACAACAATCTGCAGCCTCAGCAATATTCCAGCTATGTGACGGCGATCTGTAAATAATCGAGTCTGGACCAGACAATATGACATGCATCGACCAAGTCAGCGATCCTGACCACCCGATCCCGCTAGTCGCCTCTTGCGACAAGCATAGTCGCCTTCGACAGCAAGCTTGGGTTGCTAAAGACCTATTCTACCCCGGATCTTCACGGGTCAGGTGTTTAACTAAAAACACTAAAAACATTGTACTTATATTCACTGATGTTTAAACAATAAGATACAATTCTCTAATAAAATTCTCTAATTATAATTAAACCTGAAAAACAATACGAATAGAAGTTCATTCCCCTTACACGCATGGGCAACGCATGACGCAACCCGTGGTACTCGCATTTCGGAGTGAGTGAGTGAGTGAGTTGGGTTTAACGCCGCTTTTGACAGTATTCCAGTTATATCGTGGCGTGTCAGCTTAATGTTGGAGGAAAGCCCGAAGTGATGCAGATCTGAGAAGTTTACCACTTCAGTGAAACTAACGAGCACGGGTATGGTGCTGACAAACCTAGAAACATAATCGGGGCGAACCGGGATTCGAACCCACAATCATAGGTTTCTGGCGGGCCCAAGGGACGCAACTCTGCACCGCGAAGACGACTGGGCCACCCGTGCCCCCCATTTCGAAGGGAACAAACTTTTGACCATAGAGGACCCATGTTGAGCTTCTTATAAGGAGAGCATTCTTTGATGTTCTGACCAAAATAATAAAACACACGTGATTTTGTAGAAAAATATGAGTACTATTGAGATCAATCAGATCGATCTTATTTTTCCGAACATTGGCTTCTACATGAAGGTTTGCGATGGCGTAAAACGAATATACGATCAATTGTCTGTTATTGTCATTGAAAAGCTTGTGTGAATTGACATTTAATGTCTCTGGTACTTATACAAGAGACAGTTTTACTGTTTAGAAAATATAATACAAAAGAAATACTAGTATACTGCTTGCTTATCTTAAATATGGCACTTTTATGGACAAACAGAGATGGTGCTCTGTGCTCAAGAAGGTTCTTAATGAATATGAACAGTCATTAAACTCCAGAGTGCCTCACAACAAACCAGGGCTACAAACCTTTTATGAAATTCACCCGACAGTGCGTATGCATCATTTGTGGTAAATAGCATACGTTCATCCAACACACAAACTTTACATATCATCCATGATATATCTGGCATCAGTAAAACCTGGTTATGTCACATGTACACTATGTCATACCTTAGTACCGGACTGTACAAAACATGTCATCATTGATCATTTATTATCTTTTGTGACCAGAATGACAGTGCAATGTTGAACTGTTTGCTCGGAGGAGATCACAACACCTTATGTCGTGTTGATTTTAGCACTTGGATACGATTTGTTTTGGTTGTCTCAAAGTTTGTACATATTTGCAGGTTACACATCAAACAAAACATGTTATAACCGTTACTGTTCACTAGCTCCTACCTAGAAGGGCATTGTATTTATTTTTTTGTTATCTGCGTTTTGTTAACTACAGGTCATCTATGATTTGACCTAACTTACTGTCATATGTACTCTTCAATTATTGGAGGAAATAAAGAATGTCTGTCTATGATGGTTGGATCTCTTGTTTTTGGCTCCATAGCCATGGAAAAGAACAGCATTTAATTGATGAGAGTAATTTATATCATGGAGGATACATTTGGGGGAGGGTGTTCTACTATATAATTGCTGTACCACAGGGAACGACAGGGAGCGCGGGGGTTACGCATAAGATGACCGTTGCATTATGCCCGTCAGGAGAGGCAAAACGTGAGCTTTGACTGCGTCAGTTAAAAGGGATAAAGTAGTGTTGTTTTCAAGGGTCTGTTGAATACACTCCAAGCGCTACTGCCAATATATCTTCTACTCGATCCTTGATACATCAATTTGGCATTTTCCATGTATATATATATATTCAACGTGCATTAATAGTTTACAATCATGGCAGGTGATGAAATGGGGTTTAACGTCACGTCCAAGAACATATAGCGACGTGCCTGTACGTGTGTGTGTTTGTGTGGCTGCTTGTGCTAGTCCGGACTGATTCATAGTGCTAGCTCACTTAGACATGAATGCCCCACTGACACACAGTATACTGACTCCGAGCCGACCAGTCCTTGTTTTAGCCCCTTAATGCCGAGCGCCAGACAGGGTAACAACAAGTACCATTGTCGGGGATCGACAATCATGTGTAGAGGTTACAAGCAATAATTGTAATTAATGGTGATATTTAAATATAAAACGTATCATGTGCAATGTGTAGAAAGTAAGATATGGTAAATAATAATATTGAAATCGCATTAAAATACAAAATATATATGTAATCCTAAAGCTTATGTTCAATATGCCCAGAAGAGCCAGGAGGAAAACCGATTAAATGTAGAGTTGGTTGGTTGATTGGTTGGCCGCACTCAGGAATATTCCATCTATGTGGACGGCGGTCAGTAAATAATCGAGTATGAACCAGAATATCCAGTGATTGATATCATGAGCATCGATCCACGCAATTGGGATCGATGACATGTATCAACCAAGTCAGCGTGCCTCACCACCCGATCCCGTTAGTCGCCTCTTACGACAAGCATAGTCACCTTTTACGGCCAGCATGGGTTGCTGAAGAACTATTCTACCCCGGATCTTCACGGGTCTTAAATATAGAGAAGAAATTACATACATGTAGAGACATCATCTGAATATGACTAAGTATATATGTAAATGTTACGAAACTCTACCTGTCTACACGAAGTATTCGCAAAAGGACATTAGGTCATGGAGACAAAGGTTATAGATATACCACCAGGAACACTTTATGCTTCTTTTAACGGAAAGCATCCCCTAAACAATCTTTAAACGTTGAATCAAAAACATGCGCCGGTACAGTAGATGTGCAAATGAAAACATATCTACCGATATGCTCGAACCCTTTCATGAAACACCAGCGAATTTAATTCTCACAATTTGTGATATAAAAACTACTTTCCATATCTAACATATCACAAATTCGATTTGTCTGATAAAATTCATTAGTTGATATGATAAATGCATTTATTGATATGTAAAAATGTGCGAAATCAAATATTTCATGACATGATAAAATCAAATTTGTGATATAAATTCATTCTTTGGTATCAAGAAATAAATGATTGCTACAATAAAATATGGAATAACTAGATAAACGGCGCCTTATGAATTTTATTGCATCACGTCTTAATTGCTAGTCTGTTTCTGCACCAACATTTATTTTCATCTGTTTAAAAATGGCAACTTATAATTAACTTTTATTGATATAATACTGACCCGCCCTGCGTAAATCTCTCTCTTTATCGTTATCAGCGTTAACACCTGTTATCTTTTAAGTACATGCACGTATACTTGACCATCGTACTGATTAGTAGGGTTGCAACGAATACACTATGAAGCGAATACGATACGTATCACGAATATAGGGTAACGAATACGAATATTCATTCATGAATACAATAACAAACTATCAGTTTAATATATGATTTATTTTGTTCAATACTTGTAGAACTGTACAAGGTACAAAAAACATAACAAACATGGGTTTTTTGTTTGGAGTTTGTCTTTAAAAGATAACATTCTTTTTCAGAAAAATCAGCTTGTCCACATTCTCCGGGGCCAATGTTGCCCTCTGAGCTGTCACAATATGCCAAGCAGTACTGAATACTCTTTCGCTTGGTACAGATGTTGATTGTATTGCCAATAAATACTTTGCAACCTTGTAAAGTAAAGGATAGTTGTAGGCATGCTCATGCCACCACTTGAGTGGATTGGTATTGATATCAACTGAATCCTCTCCAATATGGGTTTTAATCTCTCTGGCGAGCTGCTCTTTCTTGGTCAGGGTAGCAGGTACATCACCAACCACAAACACATCTCCAAATAATGAAGACAATGCTGTCTTCTTGGGTGGGTTGATAATTCCATCCTCTGGGCCTGCACCCGGTTCTGATTTGATGATGACATACTGTAATAGGAAATGTACAATAAACGTTTCACCAGCATTTGATTGTTTTGTTTTTGTTTTTGTGACAAGAGACTTAGACCAAATGCAACATATTATTTCGCTTAAAGATTGCACAACAGTTATGTTAATTGAAAGCAATAATCTAATAATAAAGAGTTCTCTGTTATTGGGTTTTCAGGTAATACCTCAAGGGAGCTGTTATTCATTGCTTTAGCCAAATGAAGAAGAAATTCTTGGACCTTCAACTTCTCTTGTGGGTTGAGGAAAGGCAGAGCTTTGAACCTAGGATCAACAAGAGATGCTTGTAGCATTACTTGTTTTATCTCCACGTATGTGTTCCTCTTTGATAGACTGTTTAGAATGGCAACTTTCATCTGGGAATCTTCAACATTTGGCGCCATAGCTTGTGACAGGTTCTCCAGAAGTGGCCACACCATTGAGAGTGTTTGCATGTTAGAGTCACAGAGGATTGTAGTAACTGTTTTAAGCGGACCAAGTACCTTGATGAGATGCTAAGCTAGAGTGATGTCGTCGGTGCTTAATGTGTCCAGGTCTTTTTCTCTCTTTACCTCCTGAGACATGAGGCCTAGGGCTGCCATCACAGCTGGTTGCTGCTCCAAGTAACGTTCAATCATGTCAAAGGCGCTGTTCCATCGTGTTTTCAATTCGTTGATACAGGCGTCACACTGTCCCGAAATTGACACCAGATGGACACACGATAAAGGAAATGTTCAAATTCGGCTCTGATCGTAAAAACATCGGGCCATTCGTGAGGGCATCTTAAGCCATCGTATGACCGCCGGTGGAGTGTCTCAGGCTCCGGCAGCAACTTCGTGAGCGGTTGCAAAATCTTTGGCATGTCAAAAAATTGCCAGAAGACCTTGCGCAGGTTCATTTTCGTTTTGAATTCGTGTGTCCATTTTGCCCTCCGTAAGGCCATCGTGAGGGCATCTTGTCAAATCGTGTCATCTTCGTTTTTACTTCATGTGATCATTGGTGCCATCGGGCATTTTTCGCCCACGAAGACAATACGAAGGAAACAAGAAGCTGCCCGTTTGTCTTAGGAAGGCAACACGACTATGTGAAGCCCTCGCAATGCCGTCGTGTAGCCATCATATTATAGTACGATGACATCGAGATGGGACCAGGGTGTCGGCGAAGACAGCCGAATTTGAATAGCTCAAGCGTTTCCCATGTGTCATGGTAACGTGGACATGTAAAAGGCCAGCCTCAGAGCATCTTCCTCAGTCAGTCCTGAGCAGTCTACAGAGCAGAGGCGTGTGTAACTCCCAAAGCTCCAATCACAATTAATCACAATTCATTTCCTGCAGAATGGCATACTTAAATGATGTGACAACCAGGAAAAAGAAGGCAGCAGCATTTCTTCTTTTGATGCACCTCAGAGAACGTGATCCATAAGCAACTCTTACAGGCCCAGCACCTCCTCTTACAGGTAAAAATTGTCTTATTTCACTTTGCATTTCTTACTATTTGCACAGACTCCGTGGTCTAGTGGTAGAGCGTCAGCCCAGAGAGCGGAAGGTCCGGGGTTCGATCCCCGACCGCATGATACCAAAAGTCGTTAAAATATGGTACTTGTTGTTTCCCTGTCTGGCGCTCGCCATTAAGGGGCTAAAACAAGAACTGGTCGGCTCGGAGTCAGTATACTGTGTCTGAGTGGGGTATTTATGTTAAACTCCGGCATGGTATCTCAGTGAGCTAGCACTATAAATCGGCATCAGTCCAGACTAGTACAAGCAACCACACAAACACACACACTATATAAGTGCAATAATCTTGTACGCGACGTTAAACCCCATTTCACCTCATGCTATTTGCCTTTCTAGCATTCGACAATGTACTTATCTTGTTTTGCTTTTTATTTTCCAGGGCAGGGGCAAACAGAGGCGAAGGTGGAAACCGAGGTCTATGTGGGTCAGGGAATGGCTGTCTGACAAAAGAAGAGAACGCTATGGCCACTAATGATCTCTACTAAATGAGCTGAAGACAGAAGATGAGAAGGCCTTCTACAACTACACAAGACTTCCCCGAGGCCTCTACGACGAGGTGCTGAAGGCAGAATAGAGAAGAAGCACACATGGTACAGAAAGTCTCTCCCTCCTGGTCTCAAGCTGTCCATCACTCTACGACACTTAGCCTGTGGTGACAATTATCCAAGCCTGTCCTACAACTTTAGAGTTGCTCCAAACACCACCTCCCTCATCATTAATGAAGTGTGCGATGCCATCAAAGCCGAGTTTGCTGCTGAGGTGATCCATTGTCTTACTACAACTGAAGAGTGGATCGCCATTGCTGAGCAGTTGGAGAAGAGATGGCAATTTCCACACAGCTGTGGTGCTCTGGATGGCAAGCATGTGGCGGTCACCTGTCCTTGGAATACTGGCTCTGTGTACAGAAATTACAAGGGCTTCCCTCCATTGTCCTCATGGCCCTGGTCGACGCAGACTAAAAGTTTCTATGGATTGATGTCGGCTCTGATGGTTCAAGCAACGATGCCAGTATCTACAAAGGGTCAGAACTGAAAGAAGGCCTGGAGAGTCCGAACAACATATTCAATCTCCCTGAAGAGAAGTCTCTACCTGGTGATGACGTTCCTGTCCCATGCTTCATAGTAGCACCCGTTTTCAATCAGAAACATTGAGCACCATGAGAGAATATTTAACTACAGAGTCTCCAGTGCCAGGCGTGTAGTGGAGAATGCCTTTGGCATTCTGGCACACAAGTTCCAAGTTTTGCTGAGGACCATGAACCAGAGGCCAGAGACATGCAGAAAAACCTTGTGTGATCCTTCACAATCTCATCAGACTGAGATATCCAGCCACCCACAACAACCTGATGAACCAGAATGTCATCCCAGGGGCATGGAGAAATGACAAAGTACTTCTGGATGTTTACCATGAGAGGGCAAGGAACACTGGAACCCAGGAGGTGAGGCAAATTAGAAGATACCTGGGCCACTACTTTACCCCAAAGGCTGGTTCGGTGCCATGGCAGGACAAGATGATCATGTAATTATTCCCACAAGGCAGTGACAGTAAAATGAATACAGAGACACTAACATTGTGATGATGAACAAATTATTTTCACATATTGCATTGTAGTTTAAAGCAAAATGTGTATGGAGTAATAAATTTTGTTTTTGAAATTTTGATTGAAAATACTTGTTCTTTTTTCGACTTATTAATAAAATAAAGGCCCAACATTTAAAAATCTCAACATTCCAAAATGTAAAGTCCCATGCATACTACTTTAACATAGAAATTAAAATAAGTAAAGGATTTGTGAAGTAAGGATAACGGACCAAAAAAAGGACCAAGTTACAATTTTGATTATATACAATCTCACGTTTCTGTGTGATATTTGCCGCTGAGGAGGCTGAGAAGGAAGTTGGACGAATGCAGCCTGGCGAGGAGTAGGTACGTAGCCCTGAGTAGAAGTGCTGGCTGGCCTTACTTGGACAAGGGCTGACATCTTTCTTGGATTTCCTCCCCCTTCTCTCTCTGGTTGGAGACTCAGTGTGTCTTCTTGGACATCTAAATCATCAGTTTCCTCTGCTTTCCTCTTCTGAGTTCTGTATTTAACAGCCCGCTTCTTCCCTTTGCCTCTCCCTGCCTTGGGTGGCATGTTAGAGTTAAATCAGCAATTGAATTTCCCACGGTCGGCCGAAGGTTTTATACCATCGGGAGGTCACGTGACGGCTTCGTGACCTAGTTCGAACGCATCGTACTCTCAATACGACGTCGTGTAGCCATCGCGTGGCCTTCGTGTGTCCTGCGGGTATAAACTACTATAACAATTCTCATCTTCGTGTTGCCTTCGTGTGTGGTTCGGGTGCCATCGTGTGACCTTCTGTGGGCATCGTACTTGCCTCGCCTGTTGATTGGTGGTTGACCAAGTTCGGGACCATCTTTGCGAAATTCAAAATCCCATATTTGTATGGCCATCTCGTGTTAATTTCGGGACCGTGTGACGCCTGCATGATGAGCTGACGGTCAGGAAGTTGAAGAAGCTTTTGCTTCAGCTCCAACTGGTAATTGGCAGTCCTGCTCTTATGGAAAAAAGTAACAACTCCCCTGACCCTCCCAAGTAGACGTTGGATTTCATTTATCTTGAGAGCTTGCTGAGCTGCAAGATTAATGACATGCGCAAAGCATCGAAGGTGAGGTGTCACCCCAGCAAGGTCAACAGCCAGGCATACATTTGCTGCGCTGTCTGATGTAACAGGATGCTGTCCATGTGGACGCTTCAAATCCCAGTCGTCTGTGGCTTGTTTCAACACATCAGCGATATTGGCACCAGTGTGTCACTCAAAAATCGGTCGTGTTTAAAGGACTTTATTATTAAGTTCCCACTGATCATTTATAAAATGAGCTGTGATGGTGATGTAACTCTGTGTTGCTCGCGCGATCCATCCATCAGTAGTGAGTGCAACAGAGCGGGATGCTTTGAGAGCTGCCTTCACTTCCTCATAGAGATTAGGAAGAATTTTCTTGCTGAGTGTTGTACGTGATGACAAGGTATATTTTGGCTCCAGACAGTTCATTAGTTTCTTGAATCCTTGACTTTCAACAATGGAATAAGGCCTCAAGTCAGTTGCTATATACAAAGCAAGATGGCGGGTGATTACTAGTAGTTGAGCTTTTGAACTTCCTGGTGCTAGTTTTGTTTGAAAGGCCCTTTGTATGCTGAGCTGACCTGTGGAACTTGTATTTACAGATCCATTTTCAGAATTGACTAAGGGCACCTTACTTTCAATAGGTTTGTTTCCATGGTTGCAAACTTCTATTGAATGTTTCCTTCTTAAATATATTGCCATGTTTGATGTGTTCTTACAGGAGTAGCTGAAACAAATGCAAAGTGTCTTTCATCAATTAATAAAAAAGTAGCATTCAAAAAAGCATTTATCAGATTATTGATAAGTAAGTCTTATTTTGTTCTGTGATACAATTTTCAAAGGTTTATTTTTAAAAGGCAAGATTATGAATATTATATACATACAATTATTTATTCAAATCAAAAACTTTCTACCTTTACATATTATATAAAACCTCTACATCTGGTCACTGTGATTTCTTATTTTTAAAATAAAATTTTAAATATATTTGTTTTGTTAGCATTCATGTGGTTAACATCTGTCAAAATTAATGATTTTTATCACATAGCAGTTTACAAACTTTATACATACTTGATTGTGTGTTCACATATGCGACAGACAGTCACATTTTCCAAGGTCGATCCTTCGATTTTCCGAAATCCAAAGTATTTTTTATTAAATTTTGCAGGTGGATTAACAATTGACCAGTTTAGGTCGTCCTCCATCATTGCTGTAAAGATATTTGTTATAATTGCTTATAAAATTGGAATGTATAACTACGGATCATGTTTGAATTATTTCAACAAATTAAAAAGCATTAAA